ATAAAACACCCTGTATAATTATTATAATTACATATGTAATTATAATATATATGTTCGCATATGTTTATTCATTTTTTTTCTTTTTAAATATCTTTGTAAAATTGTTTTTTAGTGTAATAAAAATAATAATAATGAGAAAATGTTAAAAATAATTAAAGGAACAATTTTCGCATTGTTCGTTTTAGAAAAAAATCAGAGAGAGAAATGTAAAAAAATTACTTATGCACACGTAATTATGTATAATTTTATATAAAAAATTATCAGCAATTTTTTTTCATTTCTCCAGATTTCTTTTTTAAAACAAATAATGGGAAAATAATAAGAAAATTATCTTTTTATTTTTTTTTATAATGTCTTTATTATTGTTATTATTTTTATTACACTAAAAAGTAATTTTACAAAAAAAAGAAGGATGTACGAGCATATGTACGTATGGACATATTTCATATATATAAGTATATATATTTACAATTATTTATACATATTTATGTATGTTTGTAGATAGTAGAAACATATTTTATACTCATACATGAAACATTTTATTCGAATTAATATCATATATAAGTTTTGTAATCTTGACCATCAAGATTCTTTAAAAAGCAGCAATATAATATTTATTCCATATGTCTATTTATAAAATGTCTATAAAATTATGTTTTTTATCTAAACTGTTTACAACCGTATGCATGAATTGCATAAGATCCGTTCCGTTTCTCTATGCGCTGCATGTGCATGGGAAAAAAAATCGAACTAATGCGCGCATAGAATGTGCTGCATTCCATGCGGTCCATGTGTGAAATGGAACGCATATCTCCATTTCGACACCGCTAGGGTCTTTGAAATTTTAACCATATGTAGAATTATTTTAAACATGATACCCAAATTTCAAAACAATCTATAGAAACTCAATTTCTCGAAAAAATACCTTAATGAGCATTACATTTTTTATTCCTTAGAATTCCGGTATGTTAATTTATTTGCATTTTATTTTTTCGTAAAAAGTCTTTTTACTTTTGTTTTATTAACTAGAACTTTTCCAAGAGATATAATATAACACATTTTTGACTGTTCAATCATACGTAAATATAATGTCGAGTTCTACATCAAGACTCACCCGAACTATGAATATGCGAACATTTACGATAATTATTTGCGACAATTATTAATTGTATTACTATTTTTTGATATGTTTAATGTCTGAAGAGGGCTCGATCCGGTAGCAGAAACTTGTAACTTTTTATTTTTGCATTATGTAATTTTACTTCTCTTTATTTGTAATATATTCTTTTAATAATGTGATTTTAAAGAAATGTGTTGACTCTTACTTTGCCCTTTATTTATTATTATTTATTGAGCATTACATTTTTCTAATTAATTTTTTATAAATAAAAAATAAAAACTTGTTTATAAATCATAATTTTAAATAGATTATAATGTATTTTTCTGCAGCAGAGGTGATATGTTGCACTTATATCAGTTGTAAAGTTCATGTTATTATTTCACTGAATTACAATCATTTGTGGGCAACTACAACGATATTCTTCCATTCAGTCCTATCCGACGTCCTTTCTCTCTGTATACTCATCACGCCAATGTCCTACTTTCCGATTATTGACAGGCTATAAATATCTAATTCTTTTTGTTGTTAATCAATCAGTGTCATCCAGAAGCGGCGAAGTAAAATTTTTCAGTGTATTGAGGTCCCGAGGATAGATTGAGGAAGAGAAGAGGAGGATGGGAGGATAAATATATTTCCTCATACATATCTTTTCTACATGACAAAAGTAGCCGCTCTAATTTTATTTTTTTTAATAAAATTATTAATGAACTCCTCCATATTTAACTTATCGATTATTTCTCGATAAACGTCGCAATATGATTTACGTTTTTGTTTCATTGTCGATCGAAGATAACTTTTTAAATATCTTAAACAAGAAAATGATCTTTCATTCGAACAAGATGATGTAGGAATCGTTAAAAGAACGAATAAATTTTACGTATTCTGATACAAGATCTCTGATCTCGAGATTATCACGTAAAAATTGCATTATATCCTTCAAGCAATGTGGTATTTTTCATATGTATGTAATTTCTAAATTATAATTTCTAATTTCTAAATTTCTCCTCGACCAAATATCATACAGATATGAAATTCAATGTATGGAATTCCATACATTGAATCATTCAGTGTATGGAGTACTCCATATTAACCATACTGGAGTCGCCGCCCATGATATCATCCTTACATAGTTACGAAATCTTAATTTATTTTAACTTATCGATCATTTTCTGAATTCCTTTTTGCCTTTTAAATTAAATAACGAGTTAACTTTAGAGTTTCAAAAATCAAAGAATTTTAACTAAATTTAAGAAGTAGTATACTTAATCTGACACACTGACTGGCCAATAAGTCAAGAATTAGTTTTTGACTAAATAATTATTATTGTTTAACGTTTGTGATATAGTATTTTATGTTCGGGCTTTTTTACTTTTATTGTGAATTAAATTTATTTAAAAAATTTTTCCAAATTTCTATAAAGTGTTCTTCTCTTTTCTTTTTAACATTCATTTGACTTTAATTATGATTTTTTTTTATAAGTGATAACTTCTTAAGATCCGGGAAAAAATGTTTTAGACATAATTATATATAATTATATATAGTTATATATAAAACAATTTTTCTCGAGATGTTTCAAGAGACAGAAGTAGGATTAAGGTAAGTGACAACATAATAAATAATTTTATTATTTATTAGTACATTTATTTATACACATGATTGGTGGAACAATTAAAAAGATGGTGAAAGTTGTAGAAGAGGATACATGCTGTAGACTTTAATCATATAAAGAAACGCCATTTAAATTGAAAAGATTGCAAAGGCCATTATAGATGTCAGACTATTTATGTCCTCTAGTATTACGTGAACTGCCTCAATTTCTTAGACCGTGTACTAAACAAATTGACGATTGGTTTTTGTAACCTACGCATCTCGAAAAGTACACTTCATGGGGAATCGATGCTATGCATCGAATATGTGTGGCGGAATAAGCTAACTAAGAAGTAAATCAGAGTTTATTTTAAAAAAGTGTATTATAATGAATCCTGATATAGTATCATTAATAATATGTAAGCGATAATAAAAGTGTAAAATATAAATATTATATATGCTCGGAATCTTTACTTAACACACACGACTTCGTTCACAATAAAAAAGATTGTTTAATTATTTATAATTTAACTGTTGTTTAGTTAAATCGTTCTTGTTATTATAAATATTTTATTATCTTTATTTTATTAATTATAATTTAGATAAATGTTTATCGGAAACTCTCTCTGTCAATTACACACGCACACACACACACACGCACATGCCCACGCACACGCACACGCACACGCACACGCACACGCCCACGCACACGCACACACACGTTATCCGTGCTTATAAATAAAAAAAGTTGGATTGAGTTTAACTTTTGTCGCGCGATGGAAATTATATATCTATTACCAAAGAGAAATCTGAGAGAGGACATGACGGCCTAAAACCTGTAATCGCAAAATGCTGTCCGGCACTACTGTTCTCTGACAAAGTGGATGTAAACTACATAGCAATGTCCATTTTTCTTACGGTACATCGTTCACTTTTCAAGTTATATGTAGCACGATTATATGAATCAAATATTGATTTATCATCTCCAGCCTTGAAAAATGGACGATGTACCCTAAGAAAAGTGGACGTTGCTATAGTTTACATTCACTTTGTCAAAGGGCAATAATGCGCAACAGCATTTTGCGATTACAGGTTTTGAGTCGTCATGTCCTCTCTCAGGTTTCTCTCTGCTATTACTTTCGAGCAAGCGAAACGTTGATTGGCTATCGTGGAAAGCCAATTTAAGCTTTTCTTGGAAACTAGGCCAAAGTTGGAAAATAAAAAAGTTTTTTTAATGTAGAATGTTATGTTTTTTAATGTAGTATTGGAGTACCTTCAACTTCTAGAATCTTACACAAGATGTTTAGTACAGTTGCTTTTTATTGATAATCGATTAGCTGCGAGCCTGATATTCTCGGTTTTGATTGGTGACCGTTTAGCCAATTAGCAAACGAATTCTATTTGCACATCTCTTATAACATAGGCAGTGTAT